CCCGTCTTGAGGAACAAGCCCGTATGGAGCAAGCTTTTCTTGAGGAACAAGCCCGGATTGAGGAGCAAGCTCTTCTTGAGGAGCAAGCTCTTCTTGAGGAACAGGCACGTCTTGAGGAACAAGCCCGTCTTGAGGAACAAGCCCGGCTTGAGGAGCAAGCCCGTCTTGAGGAACAAGCCCGTGAGGAGCAAGCTTTACTTGAGGAACAAGCCCGGATTGAGGAGCAAGCCCGGATTGAGGAGCAAGCCCGTTTTGAGGAACGAGCTCGTCTTGAGGAGCAAGCTCGTTTCGAGGAACAAGCTCATCTTGAGGAGCAAGCTTTTCTTGAGAAACAAGCACTTCTTAAGGAGCAGATCCTCCTTGAGGAACAAGCCCGTGAGGAGCAAGCTCGTCTTGAGGAAGAAGCCTGGCTTGAGGAAGAAGCCCGTGAGGAACAAGCTTGTCTTGAGAAGCAAGCCCTTCTTGAGGAACAAGCTCGTCTTGAGAAGCAAGCCCTTCTTGAGAAGCAAGCCCGACTTGAGGAGCAAGCTTTTCTTGAGGAACAGGCACGTCTTGAGGAGCAGATCCTTCTTGAGGAACAAGCCCGTGAGGAGCAAGCCCGTCTTGAGGAACAAGCCCGTGAGGAGCAGACCCGTCTGAAGGAACAAGCTCGTCTTGAGGAGCAGTCCCGTCTTGAGGAGCAAGCTCGTCTTGAGGAGCAAGCCCGTCTTGAGGAACAAGCCCGTCTTGAGGAACAAGCCCGTCTTGAGGAACAAGCCCGTTTTGAGGAACAAGCCCGTGAGGAGCAAGCCCGTCTTGAGGAACAAGCCCGTGAGGAGCAAGCTTTTCTTGAGGAACAAGCCCGGATAGAGGAGCAAGCCCGTGAGGAGCTAGCTTTTCTTGAGGAACAAGCCTGGCTTGAGGAACAAGCCCGTGAGGAACAAGCCCGTCTTGAGAAGCAAGCTCTTCTTGAGAAGCAGGCCCGACTTGAGGAGCAAGCTTTTCTTGAGGAACAGGCACGTCTTGAGGAGCAGATCC